TTGATGGACGGCCCCCGCTCGCTACTCTCGCTCTCCCACTCACAGACACGGCGATCCACGCGGCGCCCTTCTTCATTGATTCATCACTCGCTGCTGCCCGCTGCGCTGCATTGCATTGCACCGCACCGCACTGCACTGCACCTTCCCCCGGCACCTGACGCTGAACCTTTTCTGTATATGCCGGCAGCCAGCGAGCCTCTTGCCGCCACCACATCGCATCGCACCTCCCACCTACCACCTCCACGCTCACTCACTAGTCATCCATCGCCCAACCCGCCTGCCTTGCCGTACCCTCGTCCTTCAGCTGCGGTCCTGCCTCAGCCTCACCTCGCAACTCATACCTTCCTGCTCGCCGGTCTGCCTCTCCCCTCCGCTGCGCTTGCCACCCCATGTCCGGACCTTCCACTCGACCTCCACCACCGCCAGGACTGTGAACGCCGGCGTGCTACACCTGCTCCCGGACCCGTCTCACCTTCAATCCCGGCCAGCCGTGTTACCAAGACTCCCTCCGGCTCTCTGCTGCTGAAAGGCTCCGCAGCCGCTCCACGAACCGCGTCTCTCCCCCATCTGGCCCATCTGCTGCACTCGTCAGCTTTCGATCGATGCGGAAGACCTTGCATCTGGCAGTTTGCATACTGGCCAATTGATCCACCATGTCTTACGGAGCAACCCAAGCGGAGCCCGTCCGGCCCTTGCCACTTCACCACGAGCGATATGGAAGCCACGCGAGCGAACACCTGCCATATCCTCCACCTCCCCGGCCCAACGTGGAACTGCCACGACCTTTGGAACCCAGGCCGCCAGTTTCGCAGCAGCGTTATTACGATGCACCTCAAGGCCAAAGGCGACCAGATGCCTTTCGAAGTCCCGCCTCCAGCAATCAAGAGTTCCGTCCGCAGTCTCAAAACTTGCCCCGCCTTCATGACATCTTGACTTCAACCGCGCCTCCGGCTCCAAGTCCGACCAGCTATAGTTCCAACTGGGGATCCTCGACAGCTCCAACTCCCCCACCAAACCATCCCAATGGCGACAACCGTTACAGCCATGGTCCGTGGTATACTCATGCCCCTGCCCCACCCCAGGAGCAACCATCGTATCAACCACCGCCGGCCCGACGACTAGACATGCCCGTATCGAATACGAGTCCCGTCTCGCGGCATGACAGTCACACTGGGCCAATATCTCCATACGGACCACACCCTGAATCACGAGGCTACGAGCTTGCCCAACGTGAGCGGCCACGACAGCCCTCAACGAGCTCATACACCCACAATGGGGCGCCGAGTCCCTACATTCCCAACGGCTCCGAAGAGCACCACTACCGAAATGGCGCGGTGCACATCAATCGCCCAGGAAGCAGTAATTATGGCCCCGCAGGACCAGAGTGCTCCAAGAAGTATCTCGGAATTCGAGAACTTCCCGGCGAAGGCACCTTCCACTTATATGAAGGTGGTCTTCGCATACCGACCCATGTCGACGGCGAGCAAGTCAACCCTGCCTGGGGACTGACGAAAGCGAACAAGCCACGGAAGCGGCTAGCCATGGCCTGCTTGGACTGTAGAGAGAAGAAGATCAAGTGCGAACCAGGAGCTGCGAGCTGCTTGCAATGCGAGAAGGCGAAGCGGCCTTGTCGAAAGTAAGTCTGACAAAATTGAGCGGAAGAATGTCTGCTGATCAGTTTCAGAGCTCCGTCACACCAATCGCAACCCGATGCATCCTCACCTTCGATCTGGCCTACAAACACGGCATCTCCGCCTGGGAAGAGTGTCTCAGGGTTCAGCCCTCTGAACAGACAAGATACCGAACAAGAAGCCATCTCAAAACGAAGGCCACTGGAGGACCACTCTCCTTCTGGAGCTCCGGCCAAGAAGCATCGATCCATGTCACCGGTATACAGCGCAAATGGTGGCTTTGGTGCTCCATTGGCAGCGGCACACCCGCTCACATCACCAGCCATCCCACGATCGCCTACCACAGGTCTATCGTGCGATGTCGATCCATATGCGGCCCATCCTGAAGCCACCCTTCAGGTGTTGGATCACTTCTTCCAAGACGTGAACAATGCGACATACTGCATGTTTCCACGGCATCATTTTATGCACTGGCTGCAGTCATGTTCGCAAAAGTTCCAGAACGAAAAGCTATTGCTCTATGCGATGCTTGCGATCGGATCAATATTCGCAGAGGACGCGCATGCCGGATTTGGCGAGCAGTGTGCACGCGTGGCTGCAGCATCGTTGCAGGCTACGCAAGGGAGCTACACCTTGCCGATCGTGCAAAGCCGTCTCCTTCTCGGTCTGTATCATTCTGCAAAGGGCACACATGCAGCAGGCTGGGACTACACCGGAGCCGGAATCGATGCTGCCATCTACCTCAGATACAACACCGAACAGGGCTGTATCGAGGCAGACACGAGTGGCAAGACACGAAACGACTTTGGACTTTCCAATGAACAACTCGCCGAATGCAAGCGACGCACGCTATGGTCGGCGTTCTTGATGGAGCGCTACCGAGGCGGCCGCTCTACGCTGATCAATCCACAAGACATCTTCCTCCGGTTGCCTTGTCTTGATGACAGCTTCGAGCGTGGTCTCGCATCGGAGGCACCGTATTACGACAACGGCATCATCGATCCCGCCAAGGCGAGCCTTACACACTCCAGCCCAACCTCTCCTATGGCCTGGCTCTGCTTGATCGGCGCCATTTGGGGTGATGTTTCAAACTTCATTTACCGAGCGATGCACCGTTCGCCGCAAACGTACCAACAAGAGTACGATCGATTTTACGACCACATCTCAGCCGCCCTCCAGAACTGGTATTCGAGGCTACCGGACCAGCTTCGGTTCTCCAAGGTGAACGTGGACCGCAGCATCAAAGGCTCATACGCTGGGCCTTACATTTCCATGCACATTTTGTATCATCTCGCCTGGGTGAAGATGAACAGATTTGTGAGACATGCACTGGTCCCACAGGTGATCACAAGAAACATCCGAGCGGCGCACCACCACTCACACGAGCTGCTTCAAGTGATCAGCACGCTTCGAGCTGCGAAGTGGGACATGGCCGAGAAAGACGGCCACATCGCATCATTCTCCTTCACGACCGCTTTCGCCGGATACGCCATCCTTGCCGCGATCGACGTTGTCGGTGCGGGCGGACTGGACACACATCTCAAAGCGACTCTGGACCTGATCAGTTGCGGGCTCGAGTGCCTGCGAGAGCTCGCACGTTACTGGGACAGCGCGCGGGACCAAGACAAGGCCTGCGAAAAGCGCTACTACCAGATTCATAATGTTTTAAAACACCCTTTCACAGCACGCAGCGGTTGCTGGCTAGGGCGCGAATGGGGCGTCCATACTCCGCTAGAACAGGAGATATCCCAAGAGGACGATTGCATATACGGCGCAGACGATAGACTTTATTTTGATGCTTTGAGGGATGACTCCGCAAACGGCAGGGCGCCCAGTGCGGGTCAACGTCCAGTTGGAGGTCCTTAGGTTATTGGGAATAACATCGACAGCAGGGTCAGGCGTGTCGTCGTGTATCTTCGACAACGCAGGACCAACAGCACTACGACTGATGAGACTCTTGATCAGAGAAAGAGCAAAACTTATACCACTAGCGCGAAGGTCGCGTTTTGAGATCTCTGTTGAGGTATTGTGTAAATAGTGCAGAGTGCAGATCGGAGCTTGGGCTGTGGAGTCAAGCGAAACACAGAAAGTGGCGGGACAAAGTCAATGGCAGCGAACGTTCAGTTCATGCCGTGCCCAGAGCGGCATGGGCAGATGGAAGAAACCGTTGTGCTCCCCATACATCTTTCATTTCGGCATGTCGTTGACAATCGAGCTCGGCATCCCGATCATCGAAGGCAAGGCAACGCCGGTCGCGCTCGGCCGCTGCCACCCACCCGCCTCGTGTGATTTGGCTTGCTCCATGCCGCATGCCGATGCCAACCACATGCAGTCGTGCGTGGCTCCCAATCAGATTTCCTCTCTCATTGTGCTTTTGTTTCGCCCCCCCC